ACATTTTATTATTCGATTCTAATTGAACTATGAGATATTTGTGCGCTATAACATATTGGTGCATACATAATGTTAATAAAGTATTTTGTTATAATTATGTGCTTTTGTTTTATTATAGTATATACAAAAATGCAAAATACATTTTTTACTCCTTATGTACATACATACTTGATATTGCAAGAATATTGAATATATACGCTAAGCGAATATATCAATACTATGTTGTTGCGTTGTTGTCGGGGCAACCGGAGCTATATAACGTCCGTTAGTTTGGACATACTCAGAGTTCGGACATTTATTACGTTTATAGCGTATCGACTACACATTAGCGTTGGCAAGTTTGAAACGCATTCTTTACTTTTGGAAAGACAAGTATAAAATTTGCTGCGGTAAACTTTATCATGAGTGAAAACGTGAAATTTATTGTGACAGAAATAAATAAATTATTAGGACGTAATTATAATATAATCGGATTCAATACTTTAAACTCCGAAGATTTATTGCAGGTATCTATGCTATTTTATCATCACAGCATTTTCGAAAAAATTTCATACATTTTTTCGTAGATATTATGCAGCATTTTGATGAAGGTACAGCAACAAGATGGATCAGATACTGATATTAAATTGAATTTGCCAGAAGAAAATTCTGTATACATTTTAACAGCCCTTCGAATACTTAATTATCAGCCTGATGTGGATCCCGTAACATTTAGGTAACTTGTAGATTTTAGACCTTAATTGAACGAAATATGTATATATGTGTATGCCGTATACGTTAATCTTTTTTAAAAAAAATTTCAAAAAAATATATATATACACATCGCGCCAAAATTAAAGAATCACCTATTCTGATCGCTAAAAATAGGCAAAAGAGTGTAACTTCAAGAGAATGTAACTTCGTCAAAAATGATTGTAACATAATTATCAAAAAAGTATTTCACAGCTACAAGTTGCATCACTTTACATTTTCCATTAATACAACAAAATTAATTATTGAGAACTTAAAACGCCAACACGGTACAAAGCGGATCTTGGTGCTTCCATATAATAATTTTTTTGTGTGAATCTTAAAATTTTTCGGTTCATATAACACTACGTGGTCGCAAATTGCGCGCATCTTCGCAGCTCCGAACCAAGTAGTATGTAATATCACAAATTAAATAAAGACAATCTAATAAATCGATGCTCAAAG